TATGCGTTTCCTCTTTGATGGTGCATTCTCCTCTCTCTTGACTTGCCTGTCCATACTGCCTTGATCTGTCCTGTGATTATTATGAATACTGATAGAGTTCTATGTAATCTCCGGTGTATGATAATAAGTGTATGAGTGACAATGTTCTGTGTACCCGGTGTACAATGATGACTGTACAAGTGACGATGTTCTGTGTACAATGACAAAGTTGCGTATACAACAATGTTCAGTGAGAGGATGATGTACAATATCAATATGCCGTGTATGATTATGAGATCTTCAGTGTGACAAATACGATGATGTACAATGGCGATGATTCGTGTACAATAGGGACGTTCCGTGTACGATAGCGAAGTTCCGTGTACGATAGGGACGTTCCGTGTAATGATGATGTACAATGATGATATTCCGTGCACACTTATACAATTTTCAGTGCGAGGATGATGCACAATAACGATGTTCCGTGTACGAGTGTACGGAGTATAGGACAGCGGTCCTGTGCACAATTATAGAAGGTTCCAGTGTAACGATGATATGATTGTGGTCGTGTGTACAATGATATGATTGTGGTCGTGTGTACAATGGTATGATTGCGGTGATGCGTATGATGAACTGATTGTGGGCGTCCGTACGATCACAATGTTCCAATGTACAAGTAAACGGACTGTATTATGTTCCAGTGTAACAATAATGATGTACAGTAGCGGTTCCGTGCACGTTTATATGATGTTCCAGTGTGACAATAATGTACGATAGGCCACGGTTCCGTGCACGACTATACGATGTTCCAGGGTGACAATGATATGATAGCGATTGCGTGTACGATCAAGCGATTGCGTGTACGATCAAGCGGTTGCGTGTACGATCAAGCGATTGTGTGTATGATCACAATAAGACAGGCCACGGTTCCGTGCACGGCTATACGTTCCAGGGTGACAATGATATGATAACGGTTGCGTGTACGATCAAGCGATTGTGTGTATGATCACAATAAGACAGGCCACGGTTCCGTGCACGACTATACGATGTTCCAATGGTGGGACAATGATATGATTGCGGTCGCGTGTACGATCACGATATGAAGGCCACGGTTCCGTGCACGACTATACGATGTTCCAATGGTGGGACAATGATATGATAGCGGTTGCGTGTGCGATCACGATACGACAGGCCACGGTTCCGTGCACGATGTACGTTCCAGGATGGCAATGATATGATAGCGGTTGCGTGTGCGATCACGATATGACAGGCCACGGTTCCGTGCACGGCTATACGTTCCAGGGTGACAATAATATGATAGCGGTTGCGTGTACGATCACGATACGACAGGCCACGGTTCCGTGCACGGCTATAGGTTCTGTTCCGTGTACGATTATACAATGTTCCAGGGTGACAATGATATGATAGCGGTTGTGTGTACGATCGCAATACGACAGGCCACGGTTCCGTGTACAATTATACAGTGTTCCAGTGTGACAATGATATGATAGCGGTCGTGTGTACGATCACGATGTTCTGTTCCGTGTACAATTATACGATGTTCCAGGGTGACAATGATATGATAGCGGTTGTGTGTACGATCACGATACGACAGGCCACGGTTCCGTGTACAATTATACAGTGTTCCAGTGTGACAATGATATGATAGCGGTCGTGTGTACGATCACGATGTTCTGTTCCGTGTACGATTATACGATGTTCCAGTACGATTATACGGTGTTCCAGTGTGACAATGATATGATTGCGGTTGCGTGTACGATCACGATGTTCTGTTCCGTGTACGATTATACGTGGCTCTAGTTGTCAGCTCACAGATCACAAACTCTGTTCTATCTCTACTGACACTTTGATGAAGGGGTTGAAATGATAAACAATATTGAACCCTCAAAATTGGTCAGGTTGTGTACGATCACGATGTTCTGTTCTGTGTACAATTATACGTGGCTCTAGTTATCAGCTCACAGATCACAAACTCTGTTCTAGTTGAAATGACAAACAATATCGAACCCTCAAAATTGGTCAGGTTGTTGAGCAGCGATGGTTTCAGTCAAAGTAAGATAGAACTTGAGAGCGGTATAGGACAGTGGTAAGCCTGACCGCAGCCAACGCAGCATCGACGCTGATCAGACTTCCTGAGTGGAGTGGTGGTGTAAGTGAGATGATAAATAACCTGGCTCCTACTCAGAGGGTTATATAGACCAGTTCCTACTGTCAATACCACTGAGTAAAATCAATCTGGTGAATCAATGGCGGGTGCTGACGTTTGCGGCGGGTGTGCTTACGAGTGCTTACGTTTGCGGGTGTGCTAATGTTTGCGGGTGTGCTAATGTTTGCGGCGGGTGTGCTTACGAGTGCTTACATTTGCAGGTGTGCTAACGTTTGCGGCGGGTGTGCTTACGAGTGCTTACATTCGCAGGTGTGCTTACAAGTGCTTAAGTTTGCAGATGCTATGGTCATGGCAGTTCAAAGGGAAATAGTCTTATGGAGATAACACGCGGTTCTTCTCAATTGCCACTTTCCCCACGGTCCGCCACTAAGGTTAGATTCATCCGTGGACTTCTCGAGCGCCGTACTGGTCGTTCTTCATTGCTTTCTACAGAGCTGAGAACTACCAGATACATATGCCTGTAACTACTGCTCTAGCAATCACTACCAACATACACCGCTTCCCTCACTCTTTCAGTACATACCAATAATCTTCACACGCTCACACATCTCTGTTTGAAGGCAATGAAGTGTGAAGAATGGATGACGCCGCCCTTGTCCCGGTCCTTCCCGAGTTTTCACGTCCAACTACTTGCGAGCTCACCCCCATCAAGATGACCGAGTATGAACCAGATGAGGTGTGTGCTGTTAGGGATACAGCCAGAGACGAACCCCTCTGGAGGTTCACGGACCTGATCATACCCAGCCGGAGATACTCCCTTCCGGAGGTGCATGTCACTCTAGCAGACCCAGCCATGTTTTCTGATAATTAGATGATAATACAGAGGGGAAAAAGAGCATGCATCAATTCTACATGTCTCTATACTTATCACATTCCACTCACACGCAGTAAACCAGAGACAATCGAATAAAGTTCAGATGATAAGTTTGTTGAACAACACGTGGTAGTGGTAGTTACGTAACGTCCTGTCCCTCCTTATATCCATCAGTTTCTCTCCTGGTAGTTCTCCATTGCTTTCCACAGAGCTAAGAACTACCAGGTGAGTTATCATACATGCATTGCTTTCCACAGAGCTAAGAACTACCAGACATGTCTACCGCTCTAGCAATCATTGACAAAGTTGAACGGAGAAATATTCGATGGAAGGGGTAATTATCTAACGGTGGTTCGGCCGTCCTGGCCCAATTCTATCGGCTAACAAGCCTGAGATATGGGCTGTACTTTATAAGGAAATCACAATTTTTGCAGTTCTTCTACCTCTAGTCAACTTTCTACTGGACTGAAGGTAAGGGAAGAGGTTTGAGACGACGTCATTGCATGATAGCAGGTTGCATTCACCCCTGCCATCTGTCATGACCCCAAGGAGGCGCTCCAATGAAAGCTTAGGAATGACATAGCGATATGTATACGAAATCATGATTGACAGGCTAGCTAACAGTATTTTCAAGAGTGGAAAGATGACACTTGCCAACAATGGCCCCCCAGATCCACAGTACTCACTGATAGGAGACGTGTCACAAAGCGTGTGACAAGTTGAGCGAATGTCGGGGAAGGGTATTTAACCAGCGATCGGCGGTAGGGTTAACCGCCGATTGATAGGCCTTTTCGTCGCAGTGGTTAAGATCACTGTTCCGTTGGGCACTGTTATATCGTGCATATGCTGGTCAGGATGTCTCGTGACAAGACGGCATATGATCATTCCTGGGCTTCATCTATGGCTTTCACAATCCAACAGGGCTCATCCAAAGACTCCTGCGAGGACTCAAGCCCTTCTATGCGTCTTTGTCACCCTTACTCTCGTCTCTCAGGGCATGAGCTAAACCAGCCGTAACCATGCCTCCATAGTGAAGACCATATCTGGATGTTATAGATGGACCGTGCGCATCCAGTAAGAAGCCCGCGGGTAGGTCTTTTTCCCCTCTGAACTGGCTCAATCGACCAAAATCTTTTGGTACCTGGGTTCCCTCCATCCTGTGCAAATGCTTGAAAATCCTCTCCCTAGATTGCACTACCCCCTGGACATAGTCTTTGTCAGTCACCTCTCGAACAGACTGCCACTCGGACGTAGCTTCACCATGATGCTTAAGGTACACTCTGGCCTACAGTGGTCAGCATATACATTAGAGACAGGCACCCACAAAGACACCCAGGAAGTTACCAAGATTATGACCAAAACGTATATATGACTGGAGCACTTGAATTGGTGGAAACCTGCGAGGACAAACATGATATTTCATGCTCTTTTGGCCACAAAAAGACCCACCTGAATCACCAATTTGTGACTTAACTGTTTGCCCACATCAATCTCCCCTTCCGGTCCGACAGGAGTTATGTATGATAAGACTTCTAAGCAGATGGAGGTAGGACCCCTCCCTGTACTGGTCATGTAGTGGAAGATGGAATCTGCGTGAGCCTCTTTTGGTGCGTCGAATTCATATACCGTGTTCAACATGGGGACGGTGAGTCTTGATGAAAGCTCATCAGCATCTTGTGAACTTGAGAGTGACTGGTAATCAGACATGATGGCGCAAGAGGTATGGGGGAAGCAGGGGTAAAGTGAGACTTATAACCTGTGGTCAGATCCTGAACTTCTCAGGCTATGATGTATTGTACATGACATACTATCAATGCTCCCTCCCAAGGAGGAACTCCAACACCATGGGATCAAACCCTTGTCTTTCCATGCAGTATACAGGTCATTCACCGGGATTTCACACGAGCAGTATACGGAGGGGGTAGCGGGAGAGGGTCAGAATGGTCTGATGACTCAATCTTTCTCACGATCTTGGCTTTTTAAAATGACATCAGAACCGGATATGAAGGGAACGATAAGTTACTAGAGCCTCTGGTGACATGCCTGAGGGTTCAGTGACCTTGTCATGAACCTGGGAAACGATGAGGCGTCGAGAAAAAGGAAGGGCCGTGCGCGGCTTCTGGTAAAGATTCAGCTTAGTTTATACCTTCCCATCAATCTCCACCTTTGTACTCTAAGAGCTGTGCATCAGAAGATCTATCAGAATAACTCACAGATATTCACACACGTCATGAGAGAAAGTGTCTATGATCATTTCACTCCTAGACGCCTCAAGAGCCGAAGATAGGTCGCACGGAAATCTGAGGCTCGACAAACGATTGATGGTCGATGCCTGTAGTTGATCTCCATATCAGGAACTCGTGTGAAGCCTCACTTCTCAAGTACCTCAATGCATTCGTGACTGGACTGCCTGGCAGCCTCATGTCAAAGTCACACGGCCTGTGAGTCTCCTTCCCCCGCTTGAGAGAATTCCCTTCTCCTCTACACTACATACAGCTTGGGCCAAGGAGGCGGACAGTCTAAATATCAGATTCCCCCTTTTATAACCCTATTGTCTTTGCAATCAATGTTTGTATACTTCGGAAAACTGGCCCCCAAGAGGCAGATTGGTGGGCAATTCCACATCTTGTAGCCTGCTGGTTTGAGAGGTGATTGCTCAGGGACTTTATCTGTTGGTGAAAGGTTGTGTCACTGAGACTGATAGTTACAATGATGACGTACGAGATCAACCCGATCCTTAGAGGTTGTTGGAATGTTGCAGATTGTACTCACTATCTTGCCCTTGATGATGTTATCAACAGGACAGAAGTTGTAACATTCAATCCGTTTTGACTCACTAGTGGCCATTCTCTCCAATGAAGGATCATATGACGGCATAATACCTAGGCGGACACTTTCAACGTCTATCGTCCGGGGAATCCCTGTCAGTGCTGGAGAGTTTTATTTCTATCTAATCTGTCAGCTTCAGTATGATCTATCAACTATTACTGTTTGCTCTGATCAGGAATGAGCTGCCATTCTCAATCATGTTATGGTGAAGAGTAGGCATCGTGGGGCTCTCAGATATAGTGTGTAAACCCACTTACCTCTGTGCGAGTGTGATAGTAGAAGGTGTTAGGTGACATACGGAAGACGTGACACTTCGAAGTGTCACGGGTATGATCGTGACCGGCCAAAGATCTGTGTCCCACAGAAGAATACCTGCCATTTTCTCAGATATCCTACAGACTCTGAGAAACTTTACACTTGAGGAGAGACAGTCGCTTTCTGCTTTGTATCAAGAAGAGATGGTTGCAGCTGATTGGGTTGTTGCGCAATAGCCTCCTCAACATCAAAACTTCCAAATGCTGTTTCTTCCTCCCATGCATGCATTCATGGGATCTTTTTTGGTAGCCTCTTTCCAATCATGATCAAGAGCTACAGACCCAATGCATAGTCAATTTTGATCAGTGGTGTTGTGGAAACTTCAGATCTTTCCAGTGTCACAGCCCTAGGTGTCATGACACTTCGAAGTGTCACACGGATCTTCAGCCCGTCACGATCATACCCGTGAAGCTTCAAAGTGTCACGTCTTCCGTACGTCACCTAACACATATTTATTCTCTTATTGAGCTTCTTAGTCAGGACCAATGAGAGGATTTCTCACTACATGCATGGTGAGATTTGATTGAGAAACTAGTCTAGCACCTTCCTACAGCTTCCAAAACCCCCCAGGAGGAAGGTGTGGTTGTCTAGATCAGTGGTTTTTGGTGAGGAAATGCTCTTCTATGGCTCAGGGTCATGACTCCATGACCCTTCAAAGTGTCATGATTTTCACCCATGATGTTTCAAAGCCGCACAGATCTCCCATCTGTCACTCTAACCCCCATGATGCTTCGAAGTTTCACAGCTTCCCTCTGTCACGTAACAGACCAGTAGTATCAACTGGCTCTGCATAAGCGGTATGACATTGGTAAGACTCTCTCCACATCAGCTGAAACAACTAATTTGCTCCACCTCATCCCACACCAACTTAGAGAGCAAATTGTTACGGGGTAACAACGAATCGGAGAGAACTCCATCGAACTCGACGGATTAGGAAAGAGAACGGCGGGAGTTGGAGGCAGTGCTGCAGTAGGTAGGGACGGGTTTTCCCTTTTCGAGATTTCCCCACTGGGTTTGCTCAAAAGCGGTTTTTCACCTGTCCGAGTATGTACATAGACGCTTGCAGTAGGACTGAGAGGAGGACACGGATACCTGTAGACAGTATATAGTACAATCAGCAAAGTATCAACTTTGCTGATTCTTCAACATCATTCTTTGGCTACATCAATTGCAGAGGAGACACAATCCACCACTTAGCACCAGTGATATATAGACTTCTACGAGAGTTCCATCGAGTTTGACCCAACCTGCGACTTAGTCATCGTGTTTCCAGTACCGTTACACAAATCCACATTGAGCAATAAATACAATGTGAGGACCCAGTCAGCCAAAAGTGGTAGAAAGGGAGACTTGGAAATCTGATTCAAGGTCCATTCTGGAAGGTTAAGGCTGACCTAGTTTGGCGCAATAAGTTTGTCAGAAAGCTGACTGGACTTTGTCCTCCTGTTTCTCTTGATGTTCCTATTGTTTCTGAAGTCAGGCCTAGCTCAGATGCGCGTGCAAGCACTGTCTTTTGGAACATCATTATCCCTGTTGCTGCCCCATCCCTGCAAGACTGGCTTGATATTTTCCTCAAAAGGAGGGGGGAATGACTGGAAGAGACGTCAATTGATTTATTCCATGTGGCACATAACTGAACAGGTTTGATAGCCCCGCAGTTCAATATTTCATTCAAACTTGTGGAGATCTCTTGCTCAGCAGCCTCTCTGGTGAGATCATCCAAGGACTGCATGGTGCTGTCAAGGGAAAGATGAAGGGAGGGGAGATTGCTCTCATGCTCTATCTCAGTCCAGATCCACATTTTGACCTGGACGGTGTCAGCTCAGCTGTCCAAGGGATTTGTGGGAAGACAAAAACACCATTTGGAACATTAACCCTTCTGCTCTTTCTCTCTTTGGATACATCTGGGTATATGTTGAAAGAGTGGGTCAGACATATCGACTCAATGAACTCACTGTTGTAATTACTTTGTATTGTTTGCCCACTTCTACTTGCACAACATCTGTAGTAGCTTTCAGGGAGACCCGCGTGCTTCCCTGCCTCTCGGATCGCTCGATCTCATTACAGTACTGGGGAAGGATGAAGTCAGCCATTGGGGGAGCAGAGGGTGCAGATGGAGGTGGAATACTAGCAGGCCGCTTAGGAAATTCTACGGTGGGTACCGTGGATTGTGTGAGGTTGGACGAGATAGTCCGTATAAAGATTCCTCCCTGAGGTAGGGTATATATATCCTCACTTTCTCGTTTCCCTTCCTATCATTAACTCGGCGCCATGGGAGAAAAACACTATCTCAACGACCTTCGTTATCGGATGGCTGTGCATCTCTGCTCGTCATGATGATTCATGAGAAGCACCACTCGCCTTCCACGGAAGTCCATGTAACTGAAATGTGTGAGAATGATTGGAAAAGTGCCACGTTCATATAGTTGTCATAGGTAGATTACAGTAGAGTCGAGTACTCGTACTGTACCAGGAAACTCCGCAACGTATCTCTCTTTGCAATATTCTCTCTCGTCTACCCAACCAACATTCCTCACCGTAGTATCTTACAGCAGGGTCGTGTCACGGTGCCGAATTGCCCGCAGTGGTTTCGCGGTAGCCAATAGCATGACACGGGGTATTTACCGCGCCATGAGTTCCATCTCCAACTCAGATAGAGTAGGAGGTGACTTCGGCTTCCATGTCAACAACGCGCGGCACAGATTTACCTACTTCCAACCCCCCCCCCCCTCACCACCTCCACTACCGCTCAGACCAAGAACTCGGCGCGTCTTCTCCACCAAAGTTTCAACTTTGGGAACGTCCCCAGATCCAGTATCCGACTGGACCAGGGGCTGACCAATCTGTTCATTTGTGAATCTACTGAGGATTGTATCCGCATAACTAGCACAATGATGATTCACAAGAACCTTCCATCCTTTATCTGTGGTGGGATAATTGTAAATGATCGTTTTTATTTCGCCAAATGTGGAAACATTAGTTGTACGAGGATGTTGCTTGTGAGAATCCACTAGCATCAACTCATTTTTCTGCATTCTCTGGCGTGCAAGTTTATATGGCAGCATGATATTTTGACGGACCTTCTCCGTGTTTACCGGCATTATCTTTTGAGCAGAGTGGTCATCATTTGAGAGATAGATATATACCTGACTTGTCAGTGTATCAAATTTATACCCTTCACAGGCCAGACAATCAGTATGTAACACAGTAGTAATGGAAAATGGGGTCAATTCGTCATATTATCCAGCGTGATTCGGATCACGGAAGTTATGACTTTTGAGGGACTTTCCGATTTTCACTTACTCTTGTGAGTGTATGATAGTGAGATGTATCACATTGTCAGGTCTGCAGCTGGTGGATAAGATATGTCTTGGCAAAAAACTCAAACTTCAGATCCCCGTAAGTTTGAGATCTACGAATTGTCACTTGAAAAGCTGGAACAGACCCCGCGGGAATCTCTGACATAGTCTTGAAGGTAACATCGTCCTCATTACATTCCTCAGGGTCCACCAGTGTTATCGAGTCACTTCGACTAATCCGTTCTTCGTCAGACATAACTTATTATGGTGTGGATATGGAAAAGAGAGAGAGAGAGAGAGAGAGAGAGAGAGAGAGAGAGAGAGAGAGAGATTACTGATTTATTATCTCACGTCTCACAATAATCTTCTCACGTTCTCATAAGCTCCTTCACCGTTGAATCATATCCCAACATGGCAATTTGATGGTTTTACTGCCAACATCCGCCGGTGACACTCGAGGCTAGAGAGTACGAGTACTCTGATCAACCATTCAAAGTTTTATAGCGGATTCTGACAGCGGGTATCAGTTGGATCTGCCTCTCTATTCTCACAAAGTCATTTGAGCCCGTTTGACACGATGAAATGATCTAAGCAGAGTTGAAATTGTACTGTACCTTTTGGACGGTTTATAATGGCGAGATTGTTCCTGGGTCATGATACTGTCACCCTCCTATTGATCTGTGTATAACAGCTTAGATAAACCTCATTCATCCCTTTACTCCCCAGAGATCACTCATTACTTTCCAACCAAAAGTTCCCCCCGACAATCTGAAGGGTGTGACGCGACGTGCAGGGTGGTAATCTCCCCATTCTCCAGCACAAACAAAGATGATGCGCCTGAGCCTCTATCCACAACCTACAGGATGCTGTATGCCCATATACGTCATGCATCTGCTGCTCAATGACCTATGTTTAAACCATCTAATCTGAGATTCTACCGTCCAATCTACTGCCAGGGAGAAGGTGCGTTCAGGTAGCTCTCGAGTTAATCAGATCATTGTCAATTGACTGAGCCATCCACAAGTCCCTCCGGCTCGCCTCTTCAAGTGTAGTTACTGTCTCGATTTCATTGGGAATGTCCTTCTTATGAGACAGTCCTTTTATGGCTCGATAAACCTCCAACCATGCCATGCCTGGCTCATTCCTCTTAGCATGGGCTTTCACCTTCTCCAAGACCTCCGTTGAGGTCTGATTAGCCGTAGTGATGTCGGGTAATCCAATTACATACGTCATCTCCATGCAATACGCATCAGGACTGTCGGGTTGCGCATACGTGGCGTAGGATCCGAAGGACTTGGCAAGTAGATCAATTTCTTCCCACGTACGTGTTTCAACTCTTGCATCGTGTGCTGGGTTCAATGGAAACTCACGCATGGGCGGGCTCTGAGAAACCCTTGCAATCTTGTAAGGTTCACCTCCGTTCGGTTCGCGGACATGGACCGTAACCTAGTACGTCAAAGACATGTCTCATACCGACGAGTCCTTCCCCATGTGGTATATCAGCTTTATTTTTCGAAGCGCTCCCACTGAAGATGACCAGCTCCCACCAAATGATAAAGTAGGCATTCTACAATACAACTCACCTGAGTCCTACAGTGTACACCACTGTACAGTACGTGGTCGGTCGATTCATCGTGGTCGGTCGATATATTATGGTCATGAGACCGTTCCGTGATGATGAACGGTCTGAGGACACTAATAGTCTCAAGCCTAAGTCCTTGATATTCTTTTGCTGATGTTTCCTGCTTGGGGCTTCCCTCGATCGCCCTTCCCATCCCTTGTCGCACTTTGTCAAATGCATCTAATCCACGTGAGCTGCGCCTGGGCCACTCGAAGTCAGTCCCTGTTGTATACAGTCCAAGAGTCAACAAGGCTGCTATGAAAAGGCCAAACGTCTCCTTGACCAATGTCGTCATCTCGATTGTAGCCAATCTAGTACCGTCGAATGAGACGGATAATCAGAGAAGGAAGTGACAAGGTTTCTTGGGAGCTTCTTCGGGGATCGCGCTTGGTGTGGGGGGAGGGCGCGGTTTCCCGGTGAAGAGATGTGTGAGGATTGGAGAAAGAGAAGGTGACGTTCTTTTCACCTCCTGGTTGGGCTGTACTTCTAGACTTGAATTCTGCAGGATCCGGCCGGATTAGTAAGCTTAGAGGAAGGCAACGGGTCACCGGGCATGAAGAATGGTCGAACGGAAACCGTGGGAGGAGAAGGGGGAATGGAGATGATCGTCCCTTCCACCGTTCAACCTACATTTCCCATGATATTTTAACGTTGAGTACGCTTATTCAGCCCGAAGATGGCGAGGCGCCATCCCCTAACCTATGTAAAAGATTACGCACGTAGCTCGCGGCTGGGTGATACTCCCCCTATGTCAGAGAAGAATGGGAAAAGTGCCACATTTGAAAAAGTGCCACGTTCACTCGCGCAACGTCTTCCCTCCCTCCCTCCCTTCCTCCCTTCCTTTCACTCTCGAGATCTACATTCCTCCTTTGTCATCACTATTCTTACTATCTCTCAGCACCATTGCCGGTGGCAGACTCGAAGAAGCTTCTTCTTCCCCATCCTCACGTGCTCGTTTCACAATTATACGTCTAGAAGTTACCGAGAACGAGCTACCGAAACAACAGCAACTCTTCAACCATGCCTTCCATCTCTCCTCCTCCTTCAACTCATAGACGACATCCTCTTTCCACTCCTGCACCCGCATCTACTATTCTATCCACTCCGTCGATATCTACATATCTGGGAGCGACTAGGAGCGGGTCTCCTTCGTATGCTTCTGACCACACACTCGGGTCGGGACAAGCGAGGGGTGGCCACGACACACCCACTGTCGTTGGACATACGAGAGAGTCAGAAGCGGATATGAGACTACAACAAAAAGGATTTGGGAAGGCTAGAAACAGAGCCGGAACAACGATTGGGCTGAGGAAGAGGGAATGGGGGTTGGTCATTGGAGTCACCGCCTTGGGGTTGTTTGTGAGAGGGTATAAGCTGTGGCAGCCGAGCAGTGTAGTGTGAGTTGATCAGATATCCTAAATATCGGCCTTTTTTCTTCCCGTATTGCTGTCAAATATCTGCTAGGCTGGCCATCAGGGTGAATATGGCTTGAGCTCGTTTGTTGGTCCCATCCAGACTAATCTCTCCTAGCCACCCTCCGAGATTGGGTCTTTGAAGAAGAGCACCAAGCTGACGCATAGCTTTGACGAGGTTCATTTCGGTGGTTTTGCTGCAAAATACATCCGACGGAAATTCTTCATGGACGTCCACCCTCCTTTGGCCAAGCTGCTCATCACGCTCTCCGCGTTTATCGGAGGGTTCGACGGTCAATTCGACTTTAAGGATATAGGAAAGTGAGTGCAGTCTCTTTCTGTTCTCGTTCTCGACACTCAGACACCTATCGACAACCACTCCCCGCGCTTTCTTCCGCGTGAATATGACCTATCCTCCTGGAATGCCGTCTTTTGAGACTCGTCTACCCTCAGCATTGAAAGATGGGCCCTGGCGCTAGTTGTGCAGGCTGACCGTCCAGAGACTATCTCGAACCCCATGTCCCTTACATCATCATGCGTTCATTCCCCATGCTCCTCGGTCTAGCCTTAATCCCCATCACCTTCCTCACTCTCATCGCTCTCCGTCTCTCCCTTGCTACAGCTCTACTTGGTTCCCTTCTCGTAACGTTTGACAACGCTCTCGCCACACAATCCCGTCTCATCCTACTCGACTCCTACCTCGTTTTCTTCACCGCTCTCACCACTCTCTTCTGGGTCCGTTTCGCCTCCCTCGACGCTTCAGGCTCGGCATTCACACCATCGTGGTGGCGTTACCTATCCCTCACTGGGCTGGGTTTAGGAGCTACGATGAGCTGCAAGTGGGTGGGTCTCTTCACCATCGCCACGGTGGGACTTGGTACTCTCAGGCAATTGTGGTTGTTATTAGGTAATCTCAAGGTCACCCCGAGGATGTGGGCGAAACACTTCGCGGCTAGAGCTTGGTGTTTAATAGTACTTCCCGCGGTATTTTACATGGCCATGTTCAAGATACATTTCTGGATTTTGAACATGTCTGGGGATGGCGATGGGTTCATGAGCTCGGAATTTCAACATACCCTCCAAGGACATGGGATGGATGATACGCAAGCGGGTGAGTGTTCAAATGGTTTCTTGATACTGCTATATACTATACTTCTCTTGGTCCACGTCTCTGACTGACCGACAGACGTGGGTTACGGCTCAATCATCACTCTCAAGCACGTTCACACCCAAGGAGGTTATCTTCATTCCCATGCTCATGCATATCCAGCTGGATCGCAACGTAAGTTCTGCTCTCAGCGGATTGCCTCATTACAGTCCAACAATCTCTTCGATTCCTTTGCTGAGACCTTCCATCTCATTGAATACACTGTTCATCTATTGTGGATCGTGTTTTCTGACCCATGAGCGCTTGTGGGCGAATGAACTGACAGCAGAACAACAAATCACTTTGTATCCCCACCGAGACGAGAATAACAATTGGAGAATCACCAACGGCTCGTCTACCGACGGTCCTCCTTCGTATTCTTGGGACGAACTCCCATTTGGACACGTACTGAACGGTGGTAAAATCAGGTTGGAGCATGTAATAACCGAAAAAAGACTGCATAGTCACGATATTCGACCACCTGTCAGCGATGTTGATTTCCAGAATGAAGTTTCGGGATATGGGTTCCCCGGGTGGGCATCTCCCTGTTCCTTTCTTATGATCTTGTGTTCACGGGTTTCTTTGCTGTCTCTCTTTACATCGTGATCCCATCACCACAAAGTGCCACTTTGCGCTACCTATGCAAGTGTGGACTCTCCGTAATGGGGACCCGGGGCAGAAGGGACTGGGGCCCATGAAGATACGTACTGGAAATGAACTGACGACAGCTTCGCCGGAGATGCCAACGACGACTTCATTGTGGAAATCTCCCCACGTACTCGAGGGAAAAGGGACAGACAGGCCCGTAGTAGACTCCGTGCGCTGAGGACGGAATTCCGACTTCGACATGCTCTCAGTGGGTGTTATTTGTTCTCACACAAGGTGAAATTACCCGAATGGGGTTACGAACAACAAGAGGTAAGTCCCACGTGGCAAGAAATTGTCACACTTTCAAGATTCCGTGTGACCAATGTGAAGTGGTGGACTGACAAAAAAAGGTGACATGCAATAAGAACCCAACGTGGGAGAATTCTTTATGGTACATCGAGACGAATCATCATGCTCAATGTGAGTCAAATACATCCCTCTTCGTTTCTGGTCACTTGCCTCCAAGCCTCGATGAAACTCAATCGCAAGCGGTCTTAAATCATGTCTAGATCAAGATTCAGGTGGACGTATGCTCACTACCAGTACCTCCTGACGCAGAAATGGTCAACTACGTCCGACCGTCGTTCTTTGAGAAATTCTTCGAATTGCAGGCTGTCATGTGGCAAACCAACGCTGGTTTGACCGAACGGCATGCGTATGATTCACGACCTAGTTCATGGCCTGTACTGAGGAGGGGTATCGTGAGTACATCAGCTTATCTCCTTTCTATTCTTCCAGGCCTCGGCGATCTAAACTGTTCGGTCGCACAATCATCGTGATTCGTCCTTCTGGCATGTAGGGATGTTAGTCTCCGGAAGGAGTTTCGATATATGGAAAAGGACTGGTAAGCTAACTTATGTAGAACTTCTGGGTCAAAGACCACAGACAGGTATACCTAATCGGTAATCCGCTGGTATGGTGGTCTAGCACAGCCGCTATCGTCCTGTACCTCGGAATGAGAAGTTTGCTGGTCTTGAGGCAGAAACGAGGTTTCAGGGATTTATATCAACGTGAGTCGCGACTCTAACTTCCTCACTCTCACCCCAACGTGCTACCTACTACGATGTCTCACACAAAAATAGTAATGCATCTCGTGAAAAATCATCAAATGTTGACAACCAGCCAAGATCGCATTTTACGACGAAGTCTGTTCTTTCCTAATCATCGCTTGGGCTCTCCATTACCTCCCTTTTTACCTGATGCAACGTCAATTATTCTTACATCACTATCTCCCTGCTTTATATTTCTCCATTCTCCTCTTCTGCGCCGCTTTCGACTATGCCACGTCAAAGATGAGACCTCGGACCAGGATTCAGGTAGCGGCGGTATTTCTTGTATTGGTCATCTGGAGCTATGCGCATTTCAGTCCTTTGACTTATGGTGAACCGTGGACGAGGGGTAAATGTGAGAAGGGAAAGTGGTTGAAGACATGGGATTTCTCTTGGTGAGTATAAGTTCTGTTCCTTGATTTCTCTCATATCTGCTCGTAACAATTGTTACGTCTGATGTCGTTCTCGAACGAACTTATACTTTCACGGGTCACGATCAGATTACTGATTCACAGTTCTGATTTCCACGAACATTCAGGAATGTACAACCAACATGCCGTGGTTTCAAGTCAGAAGATTGAGACTGGGGATCATCTAGGACCTGATGCCCAGACGACTATCATTGTACGTCACCTCGCCATTTCTCTTCCGCGTCTTGAATTACCATGACTTGCCTCGTATTCTCAACTTCTTCAAATCCGAAACTCCTTGAAACCCCCAATCTATTGAGATACGAATGAACTTAGCTAACCCATAGGACGAAGCTCCCGAACCTATCAAAAACATCTTCATAGAAGCCGTAGAACCAGAAGAGAAAACGATCGCCCCTGTTGGACCAGCCAACGAAGTACAAATGCAAGAATCTACCGAAGCGATCTCACCAGAAGAAACCCAAGTCGTCGCTCACCCAGAAGATCTTCGGATCCCCGTAGGTCTCGACGCGGGTTCACCCGAGGTAACCGCTGCGGCTGAAGACGATGGTGGCTGGCATGGTGGAGCCGAAGAAGGAAAGAGAGAAGTGGACGACGGATACGATCCGACCGAATCGGACATGACGCGTGGGAGGAAAATCGTCGACGACTAAAGCGACCCGATGGAATCGGATATGACGCGTGGGAAACGGTTGGAGAAGGTGGACGGGGTGCCGGGTATGAGATTGGATGGGGAGGAAAAGAGGTTAGTTGGGAGGAGATGGCCTGTGCAGAGGTGATGATGTAGAAGATGATGTTGCGCAGCATGAGATAGAGAAGATGTCATATGATAATGGAGGAGATTCACGAAAGTCGCGGGTGGCCGGTCAGAATGCTGATTTTGCTCGTCTCCATCCCGTCGATGCAGGCGTGAAACCAGAGGTCGACGGCCTGTCGGTCACACCAGACGAGAGAAGGCGGGATTGGACCGGTTATAAAAACCTGTACTTAAGAAGCTCCACCTTCCCCACCGACTATACATACAGTATATCAGAGACCTAAATATCCACAATTCACCACGATTGTACCGCTTCCAGAATGTCAACTTCCAATGATGGACTTCCAACCTCCAGTGAAGAACTAAACCGCGACTGTAACTGCTTTTCCGACTTTGATGAGAAACAAAGGGGCTTGCTCACTATCTCCTCTACTGTATTGTCTCACGTGAAATCCGGTGAAGAGAAAACTTGTGACCAGACAGTTCATGGAAAAACGATTTGTGTGAGATACGGCATGACTGCGGTCTATGAAGTTGCAATGGCCCCCAGCAGGGAATTCGACGCAACCTTGCATATTCATACCCGTGTGAGGATGCCTCTCGTACCGCCAACTCTCTTTCACCCTCTTCATTCTGCTTGATTTCTGCCGATAGTGAGTGGTGTGTCAGCACTGACAATGTAGGTTACGAAGGTAGGCTCAACCCCAATCAACATACCGGTCCATCACCCACCTCTTGACCTCACTCGGTTTTCTGACCTCACTCAGCTTCCTGACAACAGCTACATCAGTGTTCAGATATGGCGGCACGCTTGGGCCGTTGCTCACAGAACATGTGATCACCCGTCGGCAGTCGCTTACACAGGCCATCATCTTCAATCATATCCAATTGACACAGGAGAAGAATCTCAAGAAGAAGTGAAGAGTTGTGTGGTGAGGCTGCTGGCAGAGTCTGGCGACCGGTTAGAGGGAGTCATGGTCAGTGCCATTCTACTTCAATTTCGGGCCCATCAGCAGGGGTGGGGTTCCAATGATCCTACGTACAAAAGTCTGAGGGAATCATTGTTGCTGCCAAGGACATCTGAACCATAAGGGTAGTAAAGAGTTGTTTGCTGATAATTAGATGGTAATACAGAGGGGAAAAAGAGCATGCATCAATTCTACATGTCTCTATACTTATCACATTCCACTCACACGCAGTAAACCAGAGACGATCGAATAAAGTTCAGAGGATAAGTTGAAAGGAGAAATATTCGACGGAAGGGGTAATTATCTAACGGCGGTTCGGCCGTCCTGGCCCGATTCTATGGGCTAACACTCCCCCACGGGACAATGCACGACTCTGCAGTAGTCCCGGACAATTTATCGATGGCGACGGCGAGGTTTGTGATGATGTAGAAGGTAGTAATGATGGAATGTTGAGTGTTATGTGTGTGGTAGTAGTGGTAGGTGAAATCGTGAAATGAATTTCTGTGGGGCCCCCTGTGGGGCTCTGCTCTGACACGTGGGTACCACTCACTACTGGTACTGACGACTCACTCTTCTCTATCTTTCCTTTTACTTCATCACTTTTACCTCCAATCATCGGTATGTTCATTGTTCCCCTTTCTCCACTTTTATCACTCATTTCTGACTGTCTGAACCTCCTTCTATCACGTCCTCTTCTTAAAACTTCAGGTTTAGTGATAAACTCACGAGAATTGGTAAATTTCCTTGGTGTCTCTGGCTGACGATGTCACGAGACATACTGACCAGCATATGCACGATATAACAGTGCCCAACGGAACAGTCACGAGACATATTAATCTGTCACGAGACATACTGACCAGCATATGCACGATATAACAGTGCCCAACGGAACAGTGATCTTAACCACTGCGACGAAAAGGCCTATTAATCGGCGGTTAACCCTACTGCTGATCGCTGGTTAAATACCCTTCCCCGACTTTTGCTCGACTTGTCACACACTTTGTGACATTATGCACTCTCTTGGGCCCCCGCTTTGGGGCCCCGACAAGGGGACCCCGCTTGGGCCCCCACACTTGGGAAGGGTACGATAGACCGAAAACTTACTCCGAGAGGGAGGTTTTCCAAGTAGGGGCTGGGTTACCCCCGGCGCCGTCCGGGGAGTCGAACCCAGGATCCTACCCGCAACCGCCGATTAATCTGTCACGAGACATACTGACCAGCATATGCACGATATAACAGTGCCCAACGGAACAGTGATCTTAACCACTGCGACGAAAAGGCCTATTAATCGGCGGTTAACTCTACCGCCGATCGCTGGTTAAATACCCTTCCCCGACTTTCGCTCGACTTGTCACACACTTTGTGACAGACGATATTTTCAGACTCGCCACCAAACCAAAACTTTTCATTTTTTCTTTCAAAATCAATATGTCCCGTCGCGGTTTTCTTCTTGTTGGTCTCTGGAGGGAGTCGGAGAAAAAAGGTACGTCCATTATTGACTTCATCTTCTAAACTGACTTTTTGACTTTTCTCCAATGATGACATTTTTTTTACATATGTTGGTGGCGACCCTTTCATATGTTCGGTTTCTGTTGGCGTCCGCCTCTCGTGGTGGACAGGGGGCATCGTCCTCATTATTTGATTTGATCCACGAAATGGAGGTGTGGGAAGGGGATGTGAAAGACGTCCTGGCCGATGAACAGAGGAATCGTGGTTTGGAGATGGTATAGGTTTCCCTGGTCCATTGTTTTTATTATCTTTGACATGTAGCGAACCGTTTTTCCTTCTCCTTCTGTTCTCTTTCATCTCTCTAACAACTCTAGGTTCTACCGGTGGCTTCTGACCTATATTAGAATTACTCACATTCTTAGGTACACACAAAAATTTTCCGTCATGGCTCACGAGAACTTTTCCTTTGGTGGACTCTTTTTCTTCGGTGGACTCTTTTTCTTCGGTGGGTTTCTCTGAACTTCCTTCCACCCATACACCTGTCTCTGGTACTACTTCGTCCTCTGTACCTCCTGACAGATCCCCTAGATCTTTGAGATCTGAGTAGTCGTAATCGATGATTTCATCATCATCTAATGTCACGTATACTGAACCAATGTTTTTTTTCTTCGGTGGTTCTACCCGTATCGCTGACATATTCACCGGATGTACTGGTCCACCTAAAGATTTCGTAAGTACGTCTGCTCTCTGATAGACAGTGCTGACGTATGCTAGTTCAATAACTTTATTACTGACTAGATCTCGAAGAGCATGATGTCGAATATCGATATGTTTTGTCCTCTAGTGAGTACCAGGTTTTCTCGCTAGTGATATCGATCCTTGGTTATCGCAGTTTAATATAGTAGGATTTAGCTGATTGTAGCCTATCTCCCTCAATAATCCTCTCAACCACTGAGCTTCCTTCGCTGCTTCAGCCATCGCGATGTACTCTGCTTCGACTGTTGACGACGATACTGTAGCTTGTCTTTTTGAACTCCATGTTATCAGTGAGTTGTTCATCATGAATATCCAGCCTGTAGTTGATCATCGTGTGTCTCTACATCCTGGCCAATCGGCATCAACCCATCCTGCTAGATCGCTAGCCTTGCCACCGAGACGAATACCATGTAAACGAGTGGACCGAAGGTAGGTAATTACCATTATCCCTTCTTCCCATACTTTCTTCGTCGGTTTGGTGAGGTACCTAGCAAGGTATGAGGCTGCATATGATATGTCGGGTCGAGTACATGTGGCTAACCACTGTAGACATCCTATTAATTCTTGAAATGGTTGAATTTCACTTTCCACTTCCGACATCGAAGGATTTTTCGCAGTAAGAGGTAATGGCGTTTTTCGGTCTCGATGTAAGTCGTTTTCTGGAAACTTCTGAACTATCTTATCGATGTATGCTGGTTGGTTTAACCATATTGTCTTTTCTTCTCTGTTCCTTGTTACCTTCTGTCACGGCCGTCGAACAACTACCTTCTGGCAGACCGACGGTCGACGAACCTCGGCTAACTTGACGCTCCTGAATCGATGTCTCACCCAACCGGGAGGGCGCAGACGTCAAAAGGAGTGTAACTACGGCGTACTTCGGCGTAGTTACTCTAACTGGGGTTTTGTTCTACTGATGGCGATGTATCTTGATTTGTATATAGCTATCTCTATCTGTCTTTCACTACTGACAACAATCAAGGATCGCTGAAGAACTTCAGTGATCTTCTCAGCTAATATTATCTACTCCTCCTAGACGTTCATCCAACCCTCTCGCGCTTTGACGTACTTCAACGTACTTCGTCCAACTTCCCCGAGCCCTCGGCCATCCTCTTCCTCCTTCGACTAACTCCGCCTAACATCGCCGCACTTCTCCTCCCATTGTCCCTACTTAGCCTAACCCCGTCTAACTTCGCCGTACTTCTGCTCCCATTGTCCCTACTTAGCCTAACCCCGTCTAACTTTGCCGTACTTCTGCTCCCATTGTCCCTACTTAGCCTAACCCCGTCTAACTTCGCCGTACTTCTGCTCCCATTGTCCCTACTTAGCCTAACTCCGTCTAACTTCGCCGTACTTGGTGTCAGAAGTCCTGAGTTACGTGTAGAGTAAAGAGGTTAAGGCGTGATGGGGTTTTGATGGCCAAAGGAGGGTCATTGTTGGTGGAGTAATCGAGGTGTCACGACGTAGTTCGTGACACCTTCATACCTAAGATAGTACTTATCTCCCCCAGGTCGGTTATTATCCACCTTTTTCCTAGCCCTTTCCTTGCTTCTTCCTTCGATTTTGTGGCTAATACTAGATCATTGACATAGGCTAGCAGTATTGCTGCTCCCTTTCCTTCGATTTTCCCTTCTGGTCTGTAGTAAAGACCCCAATCTGACTCGATTCTTGAAAAACCTAGGTGAGATAATCCTTCCCCGAGTTCAATCCACCACGTTCTACCGGATTGCTTTAACCCGTAAAGAGACTTTATTAACTTCAAGGTATTACATCCAGGTTTCGGTTTTATCCCCTTGGGATACTTCATGTAAATTTCGACATCGAGTGTACCATTCAAATACGCCCCTTCGACATCGGCCTGACGAATTTCGAGATCTTCGGTGGCCGCTATAGTCAAGAGTATTCGTAACGACCCCGATCTACCGACAGGTGCGAATGTCTCTTCGTAATCGACACCTGGTACCTGTGAGAATCCTTGAGCTACTAGTCTGGATTTATACTGTAGTAAGTTTCCTTCTGAATCTGTCTTCACTTTGAATACCCATTTACATCCAATGGCTTTACGACCCGGTGGAAGTACCGTTTCCACCCATGTTTCTTTAGATTTGATGTTAGATATCTCTTTCTCCATGGATTCTAGCCACTTCTCACCATCTGGACCGTTTACTGCTTCCTCAGGAGAGATAGGATCAATGAGAGAAGTATCACTTTCGATACCTGCGATAGAGGCGAGTGAGACTAACTTATTAGGCTCGCGACCAAAGTCTAGCAACGAGTCTGTTAGGCCTGCGAAACGGTGGGGGGGTCGAATAATTCGTCCGTGACGTGTCGTCAGGATCCCCTCATCCCCATCATTTCTTCCTTCCTCATCATTTCTCTCATTTTCGATGATATCGTTCTCATAGATACAATTTCCTCCCCAAATGCCCTGTCCACATTGTCTTTCAGTAGGTTGTGGACCTGTATTAGGTGAGTTGTCTCTGTCGACATCATTTCCTTGTTCATTATTGAGATTTTCCTGTTCGCCACTTTCTGAGCGGTTGTCAGGGAAAATTTCTTCGTTGACGACGGGGTCTAGGTCCACTTCGATGGCGTCAAGAGGGGTTTGGATGACATCTGGCGACTCTCTAGTCGTCACCATTCGTCCTGTCGAGCGACGAACGTCTCGTGAGTGTTCGATTCGTCCTGATCCGTCCATTCTAACGATCCAACCGCTCACACCCTCATCTTGACCTGATATGATGGCTGACGACCCCCTAGGAATCGTGAAATTCGACTTCAACCTTGTCTCCCTTGGTATCTGAACAAAACATCGTGCACCGAATCTCCACACACTATCTAGATTGGTGTCTCTTCCTGTGAGTGATATCCACCCTGACTTTCCAGTAACACCAATTGATGTTTTCATGATTATAATGGCGGTGTATCTGACAGCACAGGACCAATACTCATTCGGTAGTCCTGAGTCGAATAACATCGTTGATACCATTCCCTTCAAGGTACGTATCATTCTCTCCGCCACTCCATTTAATTCTGGTGTGTATCTTGGTGTGATGTAGTGGTTGATCCCTGCTGACAGGTAGAATTCCCTCATATCGAGACTATCGAATTCACCTCCCCCATCAGACCTAATCACCCTCACCCTTTCACCAAGCTGTTTTTCCAATTTCGAAATACACTGTCGAACGATATCAGACGCTTCGTTCTTCGTCGTTATCGGTATATCGAATACAATTCGACTCGCCCTTTCTACACCAACGGAGAAATATTGTTCTCCCTTTATCGCCGGGCCAAACGGACCAGCAATACCGACATCCATTCCTACTCCTTCACCATCTCCTTTTAACATTGGTGCTTCTTTATTCTTCGTAGACGTGTTATCTTGGCCTGCATACAGGCGGGACATTTATCAGTTGTAAAGGGATTGTCTTTGTAAGTATCCCAATCCTTCTTCAATAGTCCCTGTCTACCTAGATTCTTTAGTTTATCTACACCTATATGTCCGAGTCGCTGATGCTCAACCTCAAGTGGTGAAGTCGCCTTCGGTGTCGATATTACGATCATCGCGGCAGACATCGCCCTGCCAAATCGTACCGACCAAAGTGAGTCATGTTTTCTCCAACCTAGTTTCTCTTTACCTTTACCTATCCATCCACCACCACTGCTCAGATTCGCCTTCCAGCCCCATGAGAGTAACTTCGAGAGGGAAAGAAGACTTATCTTTGCTGTGGGGACGTGATGTACATCTTTCAGTACCATTTTCTGTCCTGAATCTAGTTCGAGATCAATGTCACCTGTTTCCCAAGCAGTCATTGACTTGCCAGATGCTAGCCCGAACACTCTCGGTTCTACTTCCAACCTGGGAGCAAGTGGTCGTAACTCTAGTACCGTGACACCCTATGAAGTGGTATATCCACGACTGTCCCAAGCGTTACGGATCATCCTTCTGCCACCTGACTAGTATCTCACCCCTCGGCTTCCACTCGTTTCCATTCCCATGACGTTGATGAGTATTAACCAGTAGGCGCCGTAGGATGACGTGGGTTCCTTCCCATGACGTCAACGATAGTAGACTAGATCGAGGAGTAGGATGGCGGAGTAGATTCTTTCCCATGACGTATGGCCCAAGGATCAACACTGTTGTCATGGCTAAAGGGAGAGAGTCCTACAGTCTTTGTCATCAGAGTTGCACTGCCTCTTGAGTGGATATAAAGACTTGCTAAGTTCAGAGACAAGCCCACATCACAACAAGATCTTTGACAATGGCACAGTCCCAAAGTCGTCAAGATGGCCTTACACATCTCACTTCTTGTCAGTCGGGTTGCTTCAAAGATCCGGACACAAATGATCCCCACTACACCCTCTCGAAGAGTGCTCATGCAACATTTATGTCTGAGGTGTCCAAGCGTCCTTTAGAGACAGACGGAGCAGTCAGTTGGACTTCGTATACGGCTCATTTCGTCGTAGAAACAGGACTTCGTAGTGCTCTGAACCCCACTATTTTTGAAGGTACTCTACATGTTCATACGGTGGTTTGTCATTCCTCTGAATCAGACCTTGACCGCCCTTGTTCTTTGCTGCAGTACTTGTACTGCAACGGGTCCAGTGGGGAGAAGTGCTGACAAACATAGTTGAATGTCTCAATTCGGCCATCCCGGCCTTTGGTGTCGGGCCCCCTTCCTCAGACACTGCCTGGAACCTTGAAGGAGCAGTTCAACCAGACTCAAACACACACGGAACACATGTTGTCTCATGTGCAAGTACTGATGGCCCGTCTACATAAGGGGCAGGGTGGAAGGTCAGCAACCATGGAAAGCATTGGATGTGAGTACAGCACCCACATCAATCTGAGGATCCCATTTTTCACGGGACACCAAGTAGAGCAAGACCGAGACTCAGTCTCTTTGGCAATTTGCGAGTTCGCAATCTCACACAGGGATAGGCTCCACTATCTCTCAATAAGTAGAGGCTTGCTGGACTTCTACCGTCATCAGCAGGGCTGGGCTCCCGACTGGGGGGAAAACCGCTGGCTGAGAGATACGTTCACACCTCCTGACATCAACCCAAATGAGCCCCCTCCAGTATACAGACAGGGTAAGGAGACAGACCCTGGTGAACAACCACCTGGATATGATTCCTGAAGGTCACACAGACGTTGCGTTACTACAGGGAACCATCAGGAAAGGAGCATCAAGCTTGCTGTAGTCAGATGTAATCAGATGTGAGAAGGTATCACGTGGTGACAACTCTGGTATGCGGAGGACGCTACTGGCGGCGTACCTGACAGATACATAATATGAAGATAGCTACTTTACTCTTTGGACAATGTATCTTCACCTGTCTGTGACTCTAGATTGCTACCGTGCTTGACCAGTTGCGGATCTTGTCCCTCAAATCATACATATAACCGAAGGAACCCCTAACAGAAGGCTGCAGCAGGTAGGGACAGGTTGTCCTCTTTTGAGATTTTCCCAACTGTGTTTGCTCAAAAGAGGTTTTTCACCTGTCTGAGTATGTACACAGATGCTTGCAGCACGAGATAGATTAGTTTGAAGTACGGGAGGATAGTATATAAGGTGGATCAGCAAATTGCCAACTTTGCTGATTCTTCAATATTGTTAGGTGACGTACGAAAGGCGTGCCACTTCAAAGCGTCATGGGTGTGATTGTGACCGGCTGAAGCGTGACACTTCAAAGTGTCATGTCACCTAGGGTGGTGACGCTGAGAAGATGTGGAGTTGCTACAACACCACTGAACCACATTGACTATGCATTGAATGTATAGCTCTTGAATATGATTGAAAGGAGGCTACAGAGGAAGATCCTATGAATGTATGCATGGGAGGGAGATACAGCATTTGGAGATTATGATGTTGAGGAGGCAATTGCAGAACAACCTGATCAGCTGCTCCCATTTCCTTGTAATACAAAGCAGAGGGCGACCCTCTCTTCTCAGGTGTAAAGTTTCTCAGAGTCTGCAGGAGAACTGATAGTAGGGTAAGAATTCTTCTGTGAGACACGAATCTTCAGCCCGTCGCGATCACACCCGTGACGCTTCGAAGTGTCACATCTTCCGTACGTCACCTAACATATACTAGGTGACGAGAAAATACATTCAACAAGACATCTACAAAAATGTGCTGTTTCTATATAGTAAAAAGGGAGCGGAGGAATACCAAAATCTTTGAATTGGAGATGGAGAAGATTGCAAGGAGGAAGAGCAAAGGAAGGCGGAGATAGATTGAGGGACACAGAGATGGAGAAAAGTATCAAGAGATAGTGAATAGGTGTAAACGGAGAACGGGGTGGATTGTATGAAGAGACGGGGACGGAACCGGAGCAGGAGAAGTAAGACTCTGCGTACGACTCCTAGGACCCTGTCTCAGGTAGTCTGGATCCTGACAGGGGGGCAGGACCATCACACACGACAGGGAGGAGAGGTGAGTGTCCTTTCAACATGTTGTTTTTGTCTATTGCCAAGGAAGGAGAGGTCGAGCTTGACAAGTAAGACGGGCAGTGGATTCATCACGAATAGAGAGAAGCCAAGATCCGTCATGGACACAGTTGAGAGGCGAACAAGTTCGGCCCTTCAAGTTTCCGTCGATTAGTCAGATCGGAGAGGTTGAAAAATGGCGCAGTGGCTGTGGCCTGACGGCTACGTGGTTCCGACAAGGCGGTACTTTCACTGATTCGGTCATCGTATACAGGTAATCCAGTCCACGTCGGTCAAGTCAAAAGCCGTGACCCGGAACTTCCTCTCCAGGAAGTAATCTGAGTCGCCCGTATCGGCAACCCGTACAATCTTCGCTTATCCAACCAAGTGTCTTGATAAGGATTAGAAATCGTCGGAGAACCAAAATATCATGTCTCTCAGGGAAACTATTTATAGTCTGATTCAGGAGGGTGAAGATGAACCCTCACAGCTCCATCATTCCACTGTTGACTTTGGTGTGTTGTTCATCATGCTTTCGGTCCGTACCACTGCTGCGAATGAGAGAAACGATCCCCCAGCCGATCATGGCACACTTGTCACCCTTATGGGTCCTGCACATGAAACCACCCGTTTCTTTTACCCCAATGAGCGGGCAGAAAAGGCGTTTATTGAGGAAACTGATGGCAAGTCTGCGACATCGGAAACCCGGTGGAGATTGGACCACAAAGGCGGGCCCATCGAGTGTCAACTCTTCTGCACTGTGATGTTGACTCACACTTTGACCGGTAGACCAACCCATGTGACAGCATCCACATATGTGAGTTCATAGCTGATCGTGATTAAGAGCGTTGATGTTTCAGGGGAGTATCCAGATAAGCGGATCTCCTATTTCGGGCAACCAGGTCCTCGATGAACCACCAAACGACTGGGCAGATGTTGATACTGAACTTGAAAACGAGGAGGAGTTGCGGAGCGCTGTGAGGAATGCGGTAGCTGAGGACCCAGTGAGTTTACAAACCCAATTGAAGATCGTATCGAGAACCGAAAAGGGTGTAGATCTGATCGCCATAGTCGCAAGCCCCTGTTGGTCTGATTGACACAGGGATGGTCATTGAGCCAGAAATCTCTTTAGCCTCTGCGCACGGCGGCAAAGCCTCATTTTTGTTGCCGGAATGTCCTGGTACCAATGCCAGTCTCCTGAGCGAGGACGAGTATTGGAGATATGAAGGCACTTCCCCTGGGCCAGTATGGTCGGTAGAGCCGCAGCGTTATCAACAACTCATTGGTGAACTTTCGGCTGGAATTCAATCTAAATTTGAACAGAGTACAGGTAATAGGCGCGTGTATAATATTAAAGCTATGATCGATTTCCCACCACCCTCGGACACAACGAGTAGCGCAGAAGAAGGCTCCATTCCCTACATCACGGATCTAACACTGGTCGAGAGAACCATATTTCATCAGCTGGCGGAGGTGCTTCTTGTAGTTCACTACCATATTGATCGACCCTCATTCCAGACTTCTGTGGAGAGTTTGAAAATCCTGCTGGAGAGTTCTGAAGGTGTGACCAATAATGAGACAGGATTTGTCACCGACTTGATGCCCCAGCTGTAGGCAGCCCTGAATCACGTCGGTACAGATCAAGCTATGAAGCCATGGCCCAGCAAACAGGCAGGGCGCGTGTGTTCCCTATGATTCATGAAGTAGTGATGGCTTGCTAGGTGGGAAGCATGAATGTCCTACTTCTTGTATAGATGATCCATGTGTCATACCACTTGAAGTAGAACGATTCGAGCACCTCATCACGATTATGAATGCGGGTCAGTCTGGGGCGTAGAACCCTCCCAGTGCACACACGATGACCGAGTGGCTGCTCGATGGAGGGTCTCTCCCCGCGCGGCGGTCACGCCGTGGAAGGCGATTTGACGACTCGTAGCTCCAATCAGGTGAGACATTCATCCTGAAGACCGCGGATTGAGAGGTCACTGAGGTTCTGGACATGTTTAAAAGACACTTCCCGGAAAGATCCACATCATATCAATCTTGAGATAAATGATCTTCACACTTTTTAGTCGAAAGCAGAAACCGAACCTGCCATTCTTCAAGAAAACAACGCCTGAAGAGTACCCTCTGGAAGTGAGGACAACACCTACTGATACTGTGCCCAGAATTGACAAAGTGGTTGCTACAGCCACCAGGACGAGTACTGATACCAACAGACCTTACCTTCGATGCTTATCCGCTGCAAACGATGATTGGTGGGTTTGTATGGGCACAGAAGGTAGCGAAATGTGTGATACTTAGTACCGATATGTCGTGGCAGAAACCCTCCATGGCGCCCATGTACGTGTTGCAGAAGTTAACACTACTGTAAGCACCATCATTTCTGTACTCCACCAGGCCAGCTGTTTCAGTGCTAGAGACTGATTAGTACAGATCAATTTGATTCGAGAAGATATTACCCCCATTGACCGCCCTGCAGCTACCCACTTTCACCCTGTGATCCTTCAGTTGTCAAAGAATGAATTCAAGTCGGAAGGTCACTCAGCAAATGTTACACGATTCCTGACGGACTACCGACCATTCCGTACAGAGCTTAGCAAGGTCACACCATGCCCCTCCATTGCCGTTACCACATACATTACTTTTGAAGATCAAACCATCATGGCTAGTAAAAAAAAAGACTTGAAATCTGCCATTTCTGACATGTTTTGGCAGATTGGGCAAGGTCACTCAGTGGCTTTCGAGTCTCTTTGCCCCAAATCGTACGCCTGATAAACCTGTCACCTCAAAGGGCAATGCAAGTGAATTGTTCCTCAATCATGAGGAGCTGATGAAGGTTAGGGCCTCTAACAGACAGGCCACAATTGAAGCATTGTTCTTGGACGTGGACTTGAAACCTTTGAAAGTGCCTTACATGGAATTGAATAGAAGTGCATTGAGGAGAGAGTGGATGTTACACCAACACTTGACAAAGGTGACAGTGTTAGCGCCTGAGCCTGCTCATCACAGGAGCAAACACCAACAGGGAATGATGGGGTCGTCAATGCTGCTTGATATGAGTGCAACCTCTCGGGGTGCGGACATTCTTGTACGGTAGTTCACCCTGCTCGTAGTTGAGTACAAAAGCTATCTGGAGATGTTAACAGTAATAAAGTTAAGAACCAGCAGGAGGTCCGTCATTGTTTACGACGGAAACATGCGCCTTCCGGGACGTGGAAGTGGTAGGACTTGTTCAGGACCCAGCCGGAGCCGTTCCACTCCGGAGTCGCACGGTTCAAAACACCCCTCTTGGACCCAGCCGGAGAGGCATGCCACTCTGGAGGTGTCCAGACCCAGCCAGAGTCCTCAAAGCTAGTCTTGCCAAACTACTCTTCTCCTCAATAAGTATACTTAGTCTACCATTCTTCCCATCAACGGCGCATTGTAGCCCGCTCTGAGATCAGTTTGAACATACAACCCCTGCAACAGTTGCTCCACAATTCATATGAACATTGAAGACATTGACCCAAGAGGCATGGTGTATTGGCGATGAAGAACAGGTTCAGTTGAGTCAGAGTTGAGAACAATATTATGGGGAATCATCACTCACATGTAAGGGTGTTCAGATCATATGTATCTAGTCTGCTGCATCCGTCTGTCCCCTCCTCAGCTCCCTGGTAATGAGACTCTCTGGCTGGGTCCGTCCAAGGGGTCAGACCACTCCGGAGTGGAACGTCTCCCATTGGGTCTGATCAGGTCCGTGCAGCTCCGGAGCTGTCCGTCTCCGGCTGTGTCCCTAACAGGACTCACTCCAAGATCCTATATGATATCATGTCAGTCCAGGAGCGGAAAGTCAGTGAGGCGGGGGCTCCATGATCCTGCACTATGGAACTCGCAGAAGTAGAGTACTGTGTATCATGATCGCGCCGAGATCTGAATTGGTAGCACTCAGGGAAGCTGTCAGCTCAAGTGCGTAGGAGCCCTTCTTCCCAAAAGTTCGAATCAGGCATCTGTTGAGAGGGGGGAAGGTCTGGAAGAGATTGGGGTGGTAGTGGGAAATGTCACTCCTTTGCCTATGCAACGAATAGGGTCTTCTCCACTTGTCAAGACGTTTTTTGTGGCTGCTTCTATGCCAGGTTCGGGAGGTGTCCGTCCTGATTAGACATGGGAGATTCCAAACGCGCACCACAGGACCGTCCCGCACGGGAGGACATGGTCCGTGAGCTATGATATGATCCGTAGAAACCGCAAAGCTTGTGGGGGCCAGAAAAACCCCAGCATCCCATGACTATCAAAGGTTGGACTCTTCCAGTCCTGTGTAGTACAAATTGACTATTTAGCAGAGAAGAAGAGCAATCCAGAAGCCTATCCGCTTTAGTCACCCACTCTATCTTCATGTCCGACAGCAGAGACCCAACAAATAACACCTACTGTTTGCTGATGATTAGATGACAATGCAGAGGGGAAAAAGAGCATGCATCAAATCTACATGTCTCTATACTTATCGCATTCCACTCACACGCAGGAAACCAGAGATGATCGAATAAAGTTCAGAGGATAAGTTAAACGGAGAAATATTCGACCGAAGGGGAAATTTTTAACAACGATTCGGCCGTCCTGGGCCGATTCTATCGGCTAACACCGTTGGCAACAGTATGATCCGTGGGCGACGGCTCCGTGTGACCGGGGTCGGAGCTAGAACGTAGCACCCTCCCACGGCTATAAAAGCTTGAGCCAAACGAAGGTGCAAGGCCCAGTACTATCCTGGCGCCTACACAATAACGAGTCAAGAGAAGAGAAGAGATAGACTTCCCAACTTGTTTCTACTTTCAAGCAATCTGTCCACCCAGTACCGTTTCAGACACCACGGCCGAATCCACTGGCCCCCCCACAACGACATTCAGGGACACGATCAGATCTGCACTTTTTTCGACTGCTAGCTGCTTGTACGTGCTTGTTCCTAAACCATTGAAAGACTTATCCGATCAACCTCATTTTCCGGCAGAATACACTGTGAGGTGGGAATCTCTGAGAGAAACGGGATCACGGACCTTAGTCGTGGAGGTATGCGTTTGACGTCTTCTCCTTAGCACATCTCATTCCCCTAGTGTCTGTTATCCAGCGACTGCCCCAACCCTCATCATGTTTTTGCCCATTCTTGCTCCAATGTAAATCTGTTACAAAGCTGACAGTACCTTCCAGCTCAGCTGCCAGTATAAGAAAGACACACATCTGCCCAACCAAGAGAAGGCAGCGTTGAGTTCACACACCACTTCACATGGCATCACTTTGAGGAAGTAACTCGCAATGATGACCCAAACATAGCACTTCATTTCATTGCAAAGCTCCTCAGTGAGAATGATCCGGGTAAGGTTGTCAAGGCGGATCTCCAGTGTTTTGTGCATTTTCAAGATGAGTCTGTAATCCAGTCTATCATGGGAGATCCAAGACTACTGGATGGGTTGGGTGAGGTAGTCATTGAAACACTGAAGTTCCACCTGTGTAACGGTACTGGAAACACGACGACTAGGTCGCAGGTTGGGTCGAACTCGATGGAGGTCTCGTGGAAATCTAGGGGCTCTGGTGCTAATGGATCGTGTCTCCTCTGCAATCGATGTAGCCAAAGAATGATATTGAAGAATCAGCAAAGTTGGTACTTTGCTGATTGTACTATATACTGTCTACAGGTATCCGTGTCCTCCTCTCAGTTCCTACTGCAAGCGTCTATGTACATACTCGGACAGGTAAAAAACCGCTTTTGAGCAAACCCAGTGGGGAAATCTCGAAAAGGGAAAACCCGTCCCTACCTACTGCAGCACTGCCTCCAACTCCCGCCGTTCTCCTTCCTAATCCGTCGAACTCGATGGAGTTCTCTCGATTCGTTGTTACTCCGTAACAAGTTTCCCCCCCTGTCTCAAGGATCCTCGCCGAGGATCCTGAATTCTGTAACTAGGTGATTCAGATGGATTGCTCTGAGACACCTTTGGTGCGCCCTGACGTCACACCCACGCTAGTGTGACGGTTGCCATGAAACACGTCACCCGCACGGACCTCCAATGTGACCGAGAAATTACTGACCAAGTCTCTTTCTGTCTCTCTCTTCTTCTTTCCTCCTCATTCCTTCTTTTCCTCTTGTTCGTCGTTCTTTTCACTTATCTACCATTATCCATCCATATCTTACCTATATCTTAGCGCATCCTTCCAACTCTGACCTGTCTGTGAGCATGTCTAAGCGTACTGTAAGCAATTCTCTTCGAATTCGATGCACTTCCTCCTGTTTATCACTGGCTGACGAGATTAGTTGTCCCCGTCTATCTCTTCTCGTCAAACTCGGGCCTCTACTACGGCAATCCTACCTGACGTCGACCCCGAGCTTCTCATGCGTCAAACGAAAAGAATGAGAATTACTTCCCAAGCGCCAGTTCCCTCTCAAACTCCATTGGTTGACGCTTCTCGAAGGGCTCTCGACACCATTAAGGATCGATATCAATCCGGCCCTTCTCGCGACCAACAATCGTCTCTTCTCGATGACGAGGTCATCGAGCAATATATCGACTTCGAAGGGGGGGCAGGGCCATCTGCCACTGGTGAGAACCCATCTCCTGCGAAATCTGTCGAGTCCGAACACGGTACCATCGTTGAAAATCAAAATTCTCCTGGTAATAAGTCCCCTGTGCCACCTTCTGATTATTCCGAGGGGCTTGTCGAGGTTCCCCATGAACTCGAAACCATTTTTCACGCCCCTCGCAAGGTTCCGGTCAATGATGAACTTGCTAAGGCTCTGGATGCTCGAAAAGACTCGGAAATTGGTGAGATTTCTACAGAATTCTGTGCGTTTCTGACTCGTCAGCTACCCTCTGGGCCCGCCTTTCTTTCTCCTCTGTTCGTCACGCTCTGAAGGATGAAGCCCTCGATCGCTTTCGCGAGACTGGGGCCATCAAGCCCACTGTCAAGTGGTTTGGTAACGCCGTGAGCTTTTTCTCCTTCGTATTCCACCGAATTCTAACTGTTAGCTTGATCGCTTGGCCCAAGGTTGGCGACTTCGTAACAAGAATGGCGCTGTTGTCCGTCTCGAGGGTGAGCTTTGCTCCGATTGCCAGCGTCGTCTCGATGGTGGAGAAGATTTTCGTGTAGGTTGTATTGGTCCTCGTGAGTCTTCCTACTCTTCCTGTTCGATATTGATGCAACTTAGTTGGTGGTGTTTGTGGAGAGTGCTCCGCGAAGGGAACTTCAAAGTGTTCGGTGAAAACCAACAATCCCGAGTCCAAATTTCGCGAGGTATCTATCTTCCTCCTTCGAACTTGGTCGATGTTGATGTAAAGGGTATTACTGTCGGAGCCCAGACTGTTACTTCCAAGGTTACCTTCGTCCTGGAGCACGAACTCTGTGCTGTCTCGGCCCGATATCGATCCCTTTCCTCCCAGGATCAATCCTCTTCCCTTACTCAACTCTCCGCTTACATCCATCTTTTCTCTTCTCTTCTCCTTCCTCTTCCCCCAGTACATCCGGGTCTTTACAAATCCCTCCATCTCATTCCTTCCGACTATGTTCCTCCTTCGCCCTCTGAAACCTTGGATCATCTCACCTCCGCTGGCGATCCTACTGGATTGAGTTCCTCTCAGCCAGTCACCGGTCCCTCCTCTTCTCCCCAAACTCCTCTCCCCCGCAATGTCATTCGTATCCCTGCTTCGGCCCGTCGTCCTCGAGCCAATTCTACCGCCTCCAACTTTTAGCGTGTTTATATCTCTCTAATTGTAGCTATATTTCCTGTGTATGCACTTATTTCCACTAAATTCCGTTGATCTTGATCGAGTTCTCACCTTCTTCTGGGGTCTTTTTTCCTCTTTTCCAGAAATCCACCAAAAACGGCCAACTCTTCTACATTTTCTCGTGGTTCCCAGTCATAGGCCGCATTCCCTGTGTATCCTAACCATTTCACCTTGAATTCCTCCTTTCCTCGTCGAATTCTACTGTCCACAATTGCTTCCACATGGAATTCCTCCTGGCCGTTTATTACTACAGGTGGTGGGGGTTGTATCTGTCGACCTGGTATCATGTCTCTAGGATATGGTTCCAACAACGTGACATTGAAGACATTGTGCACTTTCATTGATGGAGGTAGATCTAATTCGAAAGCATTTTTCCCCACTCTCCTTATGATCTTGAAGGGGCCAACGTATTTTGCTTCTAATTTTCGACTGGGTCTTTCCGTCGTAAGATACTTCGTACTCAGTAGTACCTGTTCTCCCTCTCTGAATTCTTCTGGTATACTCTTGTGTCTCCTGTTGTAGTATTCGGCACTAATCTCATTAGCCATCCTGACCTGTTCTTGAACAGCCGCATGTAACTCTCCCATATCTCTCCATTTCCTCTCCAACTTGTTTGACTTTGATCGAATATCGTGCGAATGGATGTCGTAGTGTGGCACATAGCCGTAACAGGCTTCAAAGGGACACAGACCGTGGCTACTATGTGGCGAACAGTTATAAGCGAACTCAGCAATTGGTAGAAGTTGATCCCAATTGTCCATGTTGTAGTTTACATACATTCCGAGCAGGATTTCCATCTGTTGATTTACTCGCTCAGTTTGTCCATCTGTTTGAGGGTGATACGCAGTCGAGTATAAGTTTTTTATTCCCAGGAACTGACATATTTCCTTCCAAATTTCCGCTGTAAACTGAGTTCCCCTATCTGATACGATTGTTCGAGGTACTCCATGTTTTGAAAAGATCTCCTTGATGTAGATGTCGGCCACTTTGTTCGCTGTTAGTCCAGTTGTACATGGAATAAATCTAGCCATCTTGGTTGGTCGATTGACTATCACTAGTATCGCGTCAAACTCGGTCGATTTTGGTAGGGGTCCCACCATATCCATAGAGATATCTGTCCACGGGAGTGTGGGTACTGGTAAAGAGACTAGATGTCCATACGGTTGATGTCGATGAGTCTTATGTCGGTTACAGATCTCACATCCTTTTACTTATTTTGCGATATAATCGTCCAAATGGGGCCAATAATAGTCCTCTTTGATCATAGTGATGGTTTTGTCTCTTCCTGGGTGTCCTACTAATATTGAATCGTGTCTTGCTCTCATTACTTCTAACCTTGCTTGTCCCTCTGGTATGACTACTCTATTCTTGTACAAGAGCAATCCGCTTTGAGTCCATGATACCACCGGTGCCTCGTTGCTAATCTGTGTCTTCTGTGTGTCCTGTGTGCTATGTGTCTGTGTGTCCTGTGTACTATGTGTCTGTGTCAATTGCAGTCCTAGTCGTCGTATGTTTGCTATGTCTTCTGAGTCTTTGAGTCCGTTTTTGATGAGTCCAAATAATGAGTCTTCTCGGATTGCTCCTCTTACTATGTGTCGGGTTTCTGAGTCTATCGAATTCGATCCATGTTTCTCGTATGTGGGTAGTAATTGTAGCCAGTTTCCTTTGTTTAGATCTGGGTCCTTACTACTTCCTTTTCCCGGGTGATAATCCCCTCGTCTTGTTAAAGCATCTGCTCCCCCATTTTTGCTACCTGGTCGATAAGTGATCTCTATGTTGAAGTCTCCTAAGATTTCCAGCCACCTCATTTGTCTTCGATTCAGTTGCCGCTTACTTTGGAAGTACTCCAGGTTCTTGTGATCCGTAATGACTTTTATGACATCACTACTGTTCGCTAAGTATGGTCTCCATGCTACCAAGCAGTCCACAATGGCTAGTAGTTCCTTCTCTCCCACTGTGTAGTTTAATTCGCAGGGTGTCATTGCTCGAGACCAATACGCAACCGGATGAAGTTCCGTGGTCCCTTTTATCGATGGATGAGGGAACCTTTGGGACGCTATTGCACCTATCGCACAGTCAGATCCATCGGTTTCGATCCAGGTTGGTCGGGTTCTATCGAAATGTCGAAGTACCGGTGCTGTCGTGAAAGTTTTCTTCAAATTTTCAAAAGCTTTTTGACATTCCTCTGTCCAATTCCAAGCCTGATCCTTCCTGGTCAGACGGGTAAGAGGACCCACAATATGTGAGAATCCTTTGATGAACCGTCGATAGAAATTGGCAAATCCTAGAAAAACCTGAGTATCTCGGACTGTCATTGGTTCTCCCCATTCTAGAATGGCTTTCACCTTGTCTTGATCCATTTCGATCCGTTCGTGTCCGATTACATACCCCAGAAACTTCACTTCGTCGCAACTCCATTCACACTTCCTCGGGCTAACAACCAAGTCGTTTTCAAGTAATCGGTCTAATACCTTTTGGACAATTATCTGATGGTTTTCGATCGTGTCTGAGTATACCGTGATGTCGACTATGTAAACTACCACTCCTTCATCTAACAGGTCGTGGAACATATCCTGCAGGAAGTTTTGAAAGGTGGCTGGTGCGTTGCATAATCCATCCCGTAGAACAGTGCTTTCAAAACTACCGTATCGTGTTCGTAGAGCAGCTTTATGTTCATCTCCTTCTTTTATTCGAACTAACTGATAGGCCCCTTTCAGGTCGAGTTTGGTAAACACCTTTCCCAATTGAAGTCGATCGAGTAAGGTCGAGATAAGTGGCATTGGGTACGAATCCTTGATGGTTACCTTGTTAAGTGCCCGGTAATCTGTAACTACTCGATAGGGAATGACTCCTTTCTTGGGGACCAGGAATACTGGGGACCCATAGGGCGATTTACTTCTTCGCAGACGTCCACTAGTCAGTCCATCATTGATCCACTGCTTCAGGAAAGCATCCCCATGCTCGTCCAGTTGGTAGATTGGTCCTGGTTTCAGTTCAGCCCCTGCTACTAATTTGATTTCGTGGTCACATTCTCTTCTTGGTGGTAGTCTTCTTGCTCTTTCTACCTTGAATAATTCGAGGTACTGGTGCCATTGTGTCGGTATGATTTGTCGTAGTTCCTCCTCACTCATTTCGTCCTCCCCTTTCTCCAGTGTTGCTCCTCTTATTAATCCTTCTTCTAATCTTGGGTATTTCCAACCAGTATCTCGTTCAATTCCGTCGAATTCGATCAGTCCCTTTCCACAATCGATCCTTGCCCTAAACTGTCTCAAGAAATCTAGTCCTACTAGTACTTCTGGTCCTTCGTATGCCATAACATCCAGTCGAGTTGCAATCCTGAGTCCTTTTCCTAGATCTAATTCTGCTTCTACATATTTGGTCACTAAGGTCGCGGTAGTTCCATCCAGGAACCTAATTTTTCGTGGTACCTGATATTGTTTCTTTGGGAATAGATGGTATAATGGACAGGCCGGCTGCACATACCTTCCTGTAGCCCCGGTATCGATTAACATTCCAATCTGTAGGGTATCTTTCTTTGTTTGTATTTTTATATATATTATGGCCGAGTCATTACTGAGATCTATTGGTATTTGAATTCTCTGCGACCCGGGCAGATCCTGGCCGCAAGTGGTCGCATCACTTAGGCCAGGTAGTCGTTTCCCTCTTCTTCAAAGGTCACCGCCATTCCTCGAACTAATGGCCCTTTGGATCCAGTTGGGATCGAGTTCGATCCACTAGGAATCGGTGAGCTATGCGGGTTTGGGGATCCCCTAATGTTGTTTCTCGTATTTCCTCCATTTGGACAGTTGTTGGCGTAATGTTCTGGACTTCTACATTTGAGACAACGTCGGTTCTCCCTCCTCCAAGTCATTTCGTTCTCGCTGAGACGTCCTCCGTCCTCTGTCCAAGTGACCGGAGGGTCATTTGGTAGACCATAATTCATCATCCCTGGTTTTCCACCGGGCAAGGGTCCTCTACCAGTCGATTGTGAGTGGCGTTCTACCGGGTTGGGCAAACTAGTATCCAATCGCATCGAATTCGATCGAGGGGGAAGCCAGGTCGTCTCATGTTTGCGTCTAGCAGCCCATCGATTCGCTGCAATCATCGTTTCAGCCATCCGTTGGTTCTCCTCAGTCCCTATCACATGCTGTTTGAAATAGATCCAGTCCGATTTGGTTCGAGGGTCGGTGTTATTTACCACTACCACCTTCAGTAGCTCTTCCTTCAGGCCCTGTATGGCTGAGGCGATTTTCATTGCATCTGGTACCTTTCCAAGGTGTGTGGACCAAAGTTCAAAGTTGGCAAAATACTCGGCGGCCGTATCCGTCTGTCTTAACTCCTGCAATTTCCTCATAGCCGTACCTGCCATGTTACTGTCTCCAAATTGAGTTCGTAAATGCTGGATGAATTTGTCGTAGCTCTCTAGCCATTCGGTCGAATTCCATATACTTGGATTGGTTATGGCCGGGGTTATAAGCATTTGAGGGGTGCCTCGAAGATACCCGTACATGAACAGGATCTTTCTGCGATCGGTGGCGTACTCTGCCCCTTTGAATTCGAAGTTCATGTGACATGCTGCAAGGAAGTTGTCCAATTCTCCTCGTTCTCCACTGAAGGTAGGTGGATCCGCACACCTGGTTCTTCCTGTTCGTTTGTTGTTGGTAAGTTTCGGCTCCAAACACGGCTTGTTTTCTTCGACTTCGATCAAACTTGCCCCTTTCGATGTGAGTATCTGTTGGTTCTGTCGGTCAGCTTTCATCGTAGCCAGTTCTTCCCTTAATGCATTTTGTTCCTTTTGTTGCATCGTCATAATGGCTAACAATTGTGACAACTGCTGCGATAATTCATTTAGCGGATCTGGGGTAGTGGTAGTAGAAGTGAGATCATGTGAAATGGTACTTCTCGAAGAACTTGTTGGTATTTCTTCCTCTGGGACCAGCCCTTGTTCCAACTCCTCTTTTTCTGGTATCATTTTCCGCGCTTTCCCTCTGGTGAGCATACAGTACTCTCCGATTCGACCCAAGGTGCGTAAGGCTGATTCTTCAACTTGTAACGGTACTGGAAACACGACGACTAGGTCGCAGGTTGGGTCGAACTCGATGGAGGTCTCGTGGAAATCTAGGGGCTCTGGTGCTAATGGATCGTGTCTCCTCTGCAATCGATGTAGCCAAAGAATGATATTGAAGAATCAGCAAAGTTGGTACTTTGCTGATTGTACTATATACTGTCTACAGGTATCCGTGTCCTCCTCTCAGTTCCTACTGCAAGCGTCTATGTACATACTCGGACAGGTAAAAAACCGCTTTTGAGCAAACCCAGTGGGGAAATCTCGAAAAGGGAAAACCCGTCCCTACCTACTGCAGCACTGCCTCCAACTCCCGCCGTTCTCCTTCCTAATCCGTCGAACTCGATGGAGTTCTCTCGATTCGTTGTTACTCCGTAACAACCTGACTGAAAAGCGGATGAAGAGATGTGATAGTACTGGTGGAAAATGTTGGAGGGATCAAATAAGCTATGCGCGTTGATACTTTTCTTCTTGTTCGTTCTTTCATGTCTTTATGCATTACTATATTGTTTGATTCAAACTGATTATGAGACCCGTGCTTTAACCGACTGAGCAAATTCAGCAAGCATAATCTACCCATTGCTTAATCACTTGTTCACTCACTTGTTCACTTGACCAGCTCAACCGAGCGGCCTCCTCGCTTGTCTTGTCACTGCTGGAGTATATATAGGGAAGTCAGGAAGACTAGCCTTCTGTGTGAGTGGGAGTGCAACGAGCCTTAGGTTTTATACCAACAGTCGCTTCACTTGAATGTCATTGTCTTCTTGCTTGTTCGAACGGCTGACCACCACATACATAGAGAACTTGACCAACATCGACTAGATTGAACTTGTCCCGTCCTGTCCTCATCTCGCTCAATATCCGCAGCATCACCCCATCATGTCGTCCAATGATCTCTCAAAATCGTTCGACACTGTGCCTAAGCTCACTGGGAAAGAAAATTACCTGGTATGGCATCAGAGGTTGACAGTTGTTCTCTTCATGACTCAAACTCGCTCGTTTGTTCTCTCCACCACCATTGCGCCAACTGCTACCACTACAACTTCCTCCACTGGATCATCCCTCTTGCTCGAAGCCTGGAACAAACGAGATGGACAAGTTGCTGCCGCCATCCTCCACTCCACTTCTGAGGATATCCTCTCTGCTCATCTTCACCTTCTATCTCCTCTTGATCCTCCTTTGACCAATCAACCGGTTTCCACCACCATCTTCCCTGCTTATCGAGCTCAAACAATCTATGATTCGCTCAAGAAGACATATGGAACTAATGGGGTACAATACTCGTTCGCTCTGGCGAAGAAATTTGTGGATAATAGGTGTTCAGAGGATGAGGATGTTGAAGAATGGGTGAACAAAGTCCTCGCTCAATATCGTGATCTCAAAGTTCTTTCGTACGATCTCAATCAACTCTGTGGCAATGTTCTTCTCAATGGTCTCCCTGATCGCTTCAGTTCGTTCATTGATGGCATTTGGAAGGAAGATGATACCCCGTCTGTGGAAAACATCAAGATCAAAATTCTTCGAGTGAGCGCAGGTCAGCGCAACCAAACAAACAACAAGGCCCTAGCAGCCCAAGTTTCCTCACTTTCCATGAAACAAACCTCAGCTGCTCATTTAAGCGAAGACTCCCTCATGGTGTTCTATGCTGGATTGAAGAAGGCAGGGAAGGGACCAAGCAAGGATCATCCCTGTGCTCGATGTGGATCGGTCGATTGGTAGACTGCCCAGTTCCTGCATTCTTGAATGAGCATGGCAGAACCAAGAAATGGAAGGGGAAGAAAGAAAAGGATCGATCGAACAAGGTTGCCGCTCCTGTAGAGACTAAGACAGAGGCAGCTGCCATTGTGTAACGGTACTGGAAACACGACGACTAAGTCGCAGGTTGGGTCGAACTCGATGGATGTCTCGTGGAAATCTAGGGGCTCTGGTGCTAATGAATCGTGTCTCCTCTGCAATCGATGTAGCCAAAGAATGATATTGAAGAATCAGCAAAGTTGGTACTTTGCTGATTGTACTATATACTGTCTACGGATATCCTCGTCCTTGTCCTCTTCCTGCTGCAAGCGTCTACGTACATACTCGGACAGGTGAAAAACCGCTTTGAGCAAACCCAGTGGGGAAAATCTCGAAAGGGGAAAACCCGTCCCTACCTACTGCAGCACTGCCTCCAACTCCCGCTTTCCTCTGTCCTAATCCGTCGAACTCGATAGAGTCCTCTCGATTCGTTGTTACCCCGTAACACATTGCCTCACAAGCTATCACCTTGTTCGAGTGCAATGATATTGAACATCTCCTCCTCACCACTGACAGCAACTCGATCTCGCTTGCTGCTCGCTCAAGCCAATGTATCCTTGACTCTGGGGCAAGTGAACATATGAGTGGGGATATCAATTGGTTGAAGGACCTCAAATCAACCGAGTCGATCGCTCGAATCACAACTGCTGGAGTGTCACGACTCTACCGAGCGTGACCCGACTTCACGTGATTTCAACACATTCCAACAGAATTCATGCGACTTCAATATGAGTTCCAATGAATTCATATCAGTACATGTGATATCACCATGATATCATACGAGTTCACCATGATACCATATGAGTTCACCATGATACCGTATGAGTTCACCATGAATTCATATGCATTCATCATGAATTCATACGTGTTCACCATGAATACACCTGAACCCATATGGGTTCAGTCAGAAATCACCTGAATATCGTGTGAAACCGTCATGAACTCACCAGAGTTCATACGAGTCCGCATGGACTCACCTGATTCCGGGAAGAATCCACATGATATCAGTGTGAATCCACCTGATATCAGCCCGGCTGATTCTGAATTCATACGACGAGTTTGCGCATCACAAATCCCTTGGAAAAGGATATAAGGAGGCCATTTGTAGTTTGTAGTTTTCCTTTGCTCAAGGATCAAAATATTATTTGCCACTCGCAAAAGACCTCTTCTTGACATACTACTTACATTGACACATTCCTCATCATCATTACCCCTGTCCACACCATCACACACGCCCTTATCGTCATCTCTGTTCAATGATTGCTATAGCGGTAGACTGGTAGTTCTTAGCTATGTAGAAAGCAATACATTTATGATAGAAACTCACCTGGTAGTTCTTAGCTATGTAGAAAGCAATAAAGAACTACCAGGGGATGAATAGTTTTGATATAAGGAGGTACAGGACGTTACGTAACTACCACTACCACGTGGTTTTTAACACTCCCCCTCGTCCGGTAGTTCCTTCATGCCTCTCTCCTGTACTCCCATATGCCTGGAGAGGTAGTGATGTCGTTCTGCTGGTAGTGACTTGGTAAGAATGTCGGCAAGATTTTCTTTGGTAGGCACATGTAATAGAGTGATGTTGCCCTCTTCAACCTTGTCTCTGATGAAATGATATCGTATATCAATGTGTTTGGAACGATCATGTTGAACAGGATTCTTGGAGAGGGAAATAGCAGCTTGATTGTCGCTGAGGATAGGGATACCACTACCATATTGGTAGCCCAGGTCACCAGCCAGTTGTCTGAGCCAGATAGCCTGTCTAGCTGCTTCGGAAGCTGCCATATACTCTGCTTCAGCGGTTGATAGTGCCGTGGTAGACTGCCGTTTTGATCGCCAAGCAATTGGTCCGCCAAAACCATAGAAGAAGAAACCGGTAGTTGATCTGCGTGTATTGAGACACCCACTGTCACGAACTACGTCGTGACACCTCGATTACTCCACCAACAATGACCCTCCTTTGGCCATCAAAACCCCATCACGCCTTAACCTCTTTACTCTACACGTAACTCAGGACTTCTGACACCAAGTACGGCGAAGTTAGACGGGGTTAGGCTAAGTAGGGACAATGGGAGCAGAAGTACGGCGATGTTAGGCGGGGTTAGGCTAAGTAGGGACAATGGGAGCAGAAGTGCGGCGATGTTAGGCGGAGTTAGTCGAAGGAGGAAGAGGATGGCCGAGGGCTCGGGGAAGTTGGACGAAGTGCGTTGAAGTACGTCAAAGCGCGAGAGGGTTGGATGAACGTCTAGGAGGAGTAGATAATATTAGCTGAGAAGATCGCTGAAGTTCTTCAGCGATCCTTGATTGTTGTCAGTAGTAAAAGACAGATAGAGATAGCTATAAATCAAGATACATCGCCATCAGTAGATCAAAACCCTAGTTAGAGTAACTACGCCGAAGTACGCCGTAGTTACACCCCTTTCGACGTCTGCGCCCTCCTGGTTGGGTGAGACATCGACTCAGAGCGTGAAGTTAGCCGAGGTTCGTCGACCGTCGGTCTATTAAGAAGTAGTTGTTCGACGGCCGTGACAGTATCAAGGATCGCTCTTACCGACGACCCGTGCGAACCTCGGAGAAGTACGAAGATAATATGGAACCAGAAAGAAGAATTACACGAGGCATGAGTAGGGATGGAGACAGGATGGAGGAGAACGAGAGGAGAGCATTGGAGGAGCTTAGCAGAGCAATGGGGCAGGACCTTGGAGTTGAGGATAGTGTGGGGGGGTCAATTCAAGGAGATGAGTTCGTTCCACCGGTGCTTTCTAACCCTCCTTCTCCTCCGTCTAATGCTCTCCCACCTGTGGGATCCCCACTTGGATCAGACCAAACCCCACGCCCAAGAGAAAACACTGGAAGTACGGCGAACTTGGGAGAAGAAGGAACACAAGGGGTGGTGTTGGCCTTGATGCAGATGGTGGCGAATATGAACAAAGACATGATGGAGGAGAGAAGACGTAGGGAGGAATGGGAACAGAGAAGAGAAAGGGATACAGTGGGCGGGATTGCCGAAGGGATATCAGAAGGGGTGAGGTACGCCATGGGACGGCAAACTTCGGCGACCCCAAGCGTAGCGGGCGAACAACGGAAAGGGATAAAGCTACCTAACCCAGACCTATGGAGAGGAGATCGGAACAAGTTAACCGCCTTTCTGTCTGAGTGCGACGTACACTTCGAATTGAACTCTCATCTTTTCCCCGACGACACTAAGAAAGTCTTTTTCATGATCTCTCATCTACGCGAAACACCTCTTCTTGCAGTGCAGCCCGATCTATCCAAACGACCTCTTCCTGAGTACCTCACGACACACGATCAGTTCGTTAAGTACCTCAAGACTAACTTTGGTGATCCAGACGAAGAAGGAACTGCGGCCCGACAACTTAACGACCTCAAGCAAACCGGGTCTGCTTCGGACTACTTCTCCGCCTTCCAGCGACATGTTGCGATTCTTAAGTGGTCTGATGATGGAAACCTAGTTGACCGAGCCAAGAAAGGACTAAAATCGCACCTTCTAGATGAAATCGCAAGACACGGTAGATCGTTTGGGACTGTAAAAGAGCTATTGGAGTTTGTGATTCCCTTGGACAACCGCCTGTGGAGGAGACAAGTGGAGAAGGAGGCAGAGAGGAAAAGGGAAGGAGGGATAAGGACAACGACAGTGGTGGAAAGTCAGAGGACGGAGAAGAAAGAAGAGAAGAAATGGGAAAAGGGGCAACCTTCGGCGCAGGGTGGTGCCCAGGCGGCTATGAGGTCGACGGTGGTAAAGAGTACACCGCCAAACATCGACGAAGTTCGCCGAAGATGGCCTAGGCCGAGCTCCGATCTGAGGGAGACAAGGAGGAAGGAGGGGAAGTGTACCGAGTGTGGTGAAGCAGGACATTGGCTGAAGGAATGCCCTGTAAGGGAGGCTAAGGTTAAGGTTGGACTGTTGCCTCCATGGGGGGAGAAGTTCGGAGAACGTGGTGGAGGATCGGGAGGGAACGCAGTACCTCTCGGACAGAGGAGGAACTTGAATGCGGTTGGAGGAGAAGTAGATTTGGAAGAGGACCAGGGAAAAGAAGAGGACCTGTCGCAGTAGGCGAGGCTCGGCGGGTCCGCCATATTCTCTCGGCCACCATTCCCAAACCCATAAAAGAAACACAGCTGATGGAGCCAGAGGATTGTGAATACAAAAATACACCACTCAGTACCCCTTGTTCATGCAATGTCGATAATCATCTCCTCATCCCTTCCGTTTCCAGAGATCAACCTAAATCGGACATTTTCATTAATGGAATAAAGCTAACTACGCTCTGGGACACTGGAGCTACTTGTTCATATATAAGCCCTAAGGCAGCAGCGAAGATAGGTGTAGAAAAGAGGCGATATCAGGTGAGCGTACCCGTTCACATGTTCGACGGCTCGGTGAGTGTCGCTGGACCCATCACCGAGTTTGTCGAAGTCGGATTTAGTTTGACGAAGGACGCCGAAGTGCGATCTGTTTGTCTCGATGTAACAACGCTCTGCGACGCAGATGTTGTGATAGGGTGGGATTGGATGAGGAAGGAAGGGGTTGTCCTTGATGGAAGAGACAACTCGGTGAAATTTCCCATCCCAACCCCACCAAGTGCGGCGAAGTTAGCGGCCATAGGGCTGCCGACTCTGACGGACGCGATAGACCGCCGCGGCGAAGATGAGCTTGAAGAGCTGAGCCCGGAGGAACAAGACGAGTTGTTCCAGGTAGTTCCTGAACAATACCACCAGTACATTGACGTTTTTAATCCGAAGAAGGGAGGAGAGACCCTTCCCCCTTCAAGGTCCTACGATTTGAAGTTTGAGCTTAAGGAGGGGGCGAACCTTAAGGTCGCCTCCCTCTATGCTCAAGGAGAAGATCAGAGACGCGCGCTGAGAGACATACTAGATCGCGAAATCGCCGCTGGCCGAATTCGGGCAAGTAACTCGCCATACGGCTCACCAATGTTTATGATACCGAAGAAAGCCGAAGGACAGTGGCGAATGGTCATCGACTATCGAAAACTGAACGAAGCGACCATACCAGATGCCTACCCTCTCCCTCTAA